TAACCTGGAGCTGGAGCACAATGCTGACCTTGATTGGACTACAAAATGCAAGCTTACTGCAAACTTGTCTGAGCTAATCATCATGCAGATACTAAACTAATAAACAGGTAGCCCCTTCTGTAATTTGGAGAGCATACGCAGCCATTAATAGTATAATCTACATAATGAGAAGGCTTTATAAAAGACAAGTACATGAAAGTTAAACAAATCGAAGCAAATTGCAGGAGATTGACTATTTATCAGATATTTTACACATAAATAAATCGAGAAGGGGAAAAATAACTTACAAGATATGTTTTTCCATAAAGGAAAGCATACACAGTAAGCACAGTTAACTGCAAAAAAGATAAGGATTGTGATGCTTTAGAACAGAAAAAATAACTTCACAAACTAAAAGATCTGGGTCAGCTTCAGAATTTTGACATGCAACATTGCTATGGAAAACAAATATCTGGGAGATCTATATCTGAAGCCATGATAGCGTGCCTTATTTTTCAAACCAATGCCAGTTACAGGAGCAAAATACAAGATGGGGATTAGAAAAGACAGTCATTTTGACTTAAACGGGAGAAATGGCCTGAAAATAAAATGAGTCTGATACCTGATCAGAGTGCAAAATGATGTTTATTCAAAAGCAATAGGCATTAAGTACATGATATAAACTTTGACTATGCATATAGAGTGATGCCAGCAAGTTGGCAAGCATTAAGGATTATGCTTCAGCTTTCTCTAAATGTCATATGAAATTTTACGGTATATAGGTTAAACTTTACATAGTCTGAATATGTTACAAGTAAAGAGCATAATAACTCTTAATGAATAAGACCACTACTTTCCTAAGTACCATTTAACATGAAAAAGATGAAAATAAGAAGCCAGAACCACATCAATGAAACAATTCCAACAATATTGATTCAGCTTAAAGACCAATACACAAGAGTATGTAATGAAAAGATTTGCCATGCACTTCAGAAAGTCATACCATAGTACAAAAGTAGAATCCAACTGTGGTGAAATAGAATGACATCATGCGGAAAAAGTCAAAGAGCTGCCCAAGTCTATAAACATCCCTACTAAGAACTTGTTCACCGTTGCCGCCTGCTACCTTTCCCTCAAAAAGAGCAATTTGATTTAACCCAACATCTTTTCCTTTCCCAACCTATAAAGGAAAGTAAGAAATTTAACATTTGGTTGATAAATAATAAATAAAAGAATACAGATGATACCTGGATGTACTCATGATGCGTAACATTGCCTTGACGCAGTGTAGAATTAAAACCTGCAAGTAACAGCAGAATGTCAGCAAAACATCTTTTAATATTCCTTCAATTGATAACTGGACAAAAATTTGTAGATATCAAGCAGAAGAAATCATTGCGAGCAGAAAGTGCAACACAACCAGATCAGAACTCTGGACATTGATGAGGCAAAAAGTCAAATGACGCATATCACTACAAACACGAGCTACTCAGTTTTTTAAATGTAAAACCATAAGGACGTGAATAAGAAAATTACATATTGCAATTTGCAAGGATAACAAGCTCTGACAATTACATCTCTTCTCAAGGTCCACAAAAGCACAAAAAGAAATCAAACCAATAATGAAGGATAGAAAATGATAGAATTAGTTCATATATTGAAGTCCTCCACGATCAATTGTTCACAGATGTACCTGCGCGTTCAACTTTTCACCTTTATATTCACACTAAAGAAAAATTAAGTAATCCCCAACCATGAACTTAATATTGTTTACTCATGCATACAGCTAATAAAGTTAATCACTGATCCGTCTTTTACACTCAGACACGCATATGATAATTATAGAAATATTAATGTCAAGAGTTACGTTCAGTTATATTTTATTACTGAAAAGATATGCTAAAATGACAACCTGACCAAAATAGTATATTACTGAAGGAACAAACAAGTACGAAATTTTCAGTTAAATCCTACCAGCATAGATATCTTCACTGATGTTTATAATCCGAGATGCCTTGCTAACACCACCTCTTGTTATATGAAATATTCTATCAAAAACATCAGGGTGCCCATAATGCATTCGCACCCTATACATTGTTGACAATATCAAATTAGAGACTTTTGAAAATTAACTATTAAATAAAACAAAATAATAAGATTCTGGAAATTAGACTTACTTTAATGGACTAGCAAGAACACGCTGACCTAGCGTCACAAAGCTTGTTTCTTGGTTAGACATGAATGAAGCTAAAGATGAAACACTGCATATCATTCAACAAGCAAGATGAATGAATGGGCTAGGTGCTCTTAACAGCTAAAGACAGGCACTACAAATATCAGATAATTACCTTCCAGTGAAAACATGCTCTCTAACACCAAGAATTGTCGGCTTTCGAAGACCATGTTTGCAATTGAACTCCTCAAGAAGATTTCTCATTTTCAAAGCTTCTTCAAAATAATTATCCTTCCAAGAATTAACGCACATAGTTGTGAAAACTAAATTAACAGATGCTATTGATAAGAAAAGTATTGTGCATAATACAATAAGAACAAATCTAGTTGAAACGGACATTCAATCTACACAAGAAGTTTAATAAATGATTCCATCAGCTATAAATGGGAAATTAATCTTAATAGCATTTTTACTCTTTTTTTCTTTTTGGTGTATGGTGGGTAACGGTGGTTCTGCATAAAACGATTTAAAATAGTAAATCTCTAATTCACTGTAATTTAAATTGGTAATCTGAAGACAACTTGACATGTAGAGTGTAAAATTATAACCCTCAACTCTCACCACAACTTAGGAGTTCTAAAGTAGTGGCAGGACTGAAACATAATAACAAAGCAACCCACATTTGGAGCTTACTGACCACGAATTTCTAAAGAGGATTTAAGAAAAATGAAGCGCGCCCATGCATGCGCTTGGGCAAACGCACGTGCGTTAATTCCACTTTAATGATTTGGATTCTTAAGTACATGTTTATGAGTCCTATAAGGAATCAGTAGTTCTACTTCAAGGATCCACACCCAACATAACAGCTACGAAGAGTGATTTTAGAAATCTAAAAAAGAAAAATTAGGTCAGATTAAAAATTAGGTCAGATTTGGACGGAGGCCTCATAGCCAATCCCCAACTTCAAGGCCCAATAGGAATCATATTCTGACCCTTACCAAAAACCATCAATACAGTGTTAGAGAGGAAACGCTAGAACTCAATCGCACTTAAAGTATATTGAAGGGTGTACCTAGTATATCTCACAATTTTATTACACTTAATGACAAATTAGCTGTTAGCTGCATGACTTCAAGATATATCATATTCAATCAGCTCTTAAGAAAATTAATTCCTTACATGTTTCATACGTTACTACAGTCTACCCAAGAAATACATATCTTTTTTATTATAATTAGAAATTTTCAATTGAAAATTGATAAGCTGAAAAGGAAATAACTACAAAGATATAACATTCTGTTTGAAAAGTTTATTTATTATTTCAACAAAAGCAACAGCAAATGTTAACAAACCTGGTTCATGTCAATAGTCTGAATCGCATTCCCACGAGTGAATACTATTGCATGATTTTGATTCTCAGGTTTACCTTCACCAAGCTTTGGATTCCCAGGCAATTTTATAGAATAGATTTCCTAGTACAAACAAAAAATAATTAAAACTTCAAGTACCTAAAAACATCCCTGCAAGAAAGACAACAATTTATGTAGTGCTGTGGAGAAAAGAGGATCCTAAAAGCAACAAGAAAGACAAGAAGCCATTAAAGGAACCACTCATTTGCACCCTTGGTCCCAGGTCAAAGGTACAACAATTTACCTGATATTTCATACTTATATTTAGGGTATGTAGATCATGATTAACAGTGTGGGCCAAACCAGAATAAAGAGAAAAGGAAACGGAAGGAAAAAAGAAAAGCCGGAAGAAGTTTGTTGAGGCATAAGAGGACAAGAAACAAACAGGAAGGAGTTTATTACGTACAACTCTTACTCTTCTACATATCATTTATACACTTTAAATACATGTTAATTCTATGGTATTTCCGACTCAGATCTTCAACAATCAAAGTGCGAAGAGAGTTTGGTTATGAAAAAGAAGAATCTGCTAGGGCTCACCAGTGGCAATTCCACCACCTTTTAAGGCCATTTTCATTGTCCCATAGCAAGCATTATACAAGGGATGGCATCGTGCCAGCCCACACTAAACGAAAGTTTGTTTTAGAGGCAGCAAACAGGAAAGCAGAAAGAAATAAAGAGGAAGATTCCCGTTATACAATCTAAAGATATTCGAAGTTCAAGCTTATATTGGGTGTTTTTTCAATATGGAAAATTACATATAGATCCCTACGCATTTTAAAAGTTAACAAAAGGTCATATGAGCCTGTAAATCTATAATAAGGTTCAGACAATCCTGTAGATCCTTCAAAATCATCGAAATTAAATTAAACATGTCATTAGGGTGGTTTAAGCTAAGACGACATGGATAGGGGACAGGATCTATTTTGTAAAGATGCTATCAAGTTATAATTGTGGTATGATATGAAATTATTGTTTGCTATCAGGGAGGCCACAAATCTAATGCCGAAGGATATGAAGTATTTATCAACAAACTAAATATATGCAAGTCTAATAGATGAAGCAACGTAGTTTAGTTTCCGAATATGAACTTTGTTGGGTATTTTCCTAGAAGATTGGCCTGTTCAATCCATTCAAGCAGAACTTGTGACTGGCTGTTAATGATTCCCAATGATTTCGTTTCCTAATCTAGGTATGATGTGACAGTTGCATGATTCACACCCTCCAGAGGGCAAGGAGCAGGATACAAATGGTCCATCTGGGAGAATAAATCCAATAAAGAAATAGAAAAAATGTATAAATAAAAGAAGAAAGATCAACACAGTGAAAGAAATTAGCTAACCTTATCCTTTCCATGAATGTCAGCCTTGACAAGTTTTGAGTAGTATTCTGTGTGAGGTTTCCCATCCTTCATATTTTCCACAACATCAATATAAGCAACTCTAAGTGCTTCATTCCTAATGCATAAAATATAAAAATATTAGCCATCTCAAACTCCAGATTTTCAGTCACGCAAAATGAAACAAACTTTATCCGAGACATGGTAGATGTAGTTGGATACTTTTGTTTTAAACAATATTACATACATACCGTTGCATCAATAATGCAATGTCTGCAGCCTCTGGCTTCCGTTCATCCCTCTGTTTTCCATATATTTGGCATGTGACAACATAAGTGAACTTCAGATCTGCTTGTGCCCGAGTCTCAGGGGATAGCTCAAACCCTTGTGTTTCTGTTAGCCAAGGCCCTATTGAATGTTCTGGAGAAGATAAGAAACCATAGTGCTTAGAAGCGGTGCAATTACAAGGCAGTGCGATTACAAGGCAAGTATGCAACCATAAACAAACCTTCGGATGTAATGTTCTCCATATAACTCTGCAGCATCAAGGCTTTTCTATAGTACATCATCCCACGAACTGTGTTGATTAAAATAAAAGTAGGACGTCATGTGGTCATGTATACCGAGAAAGAAACAAACTAATCAAAGTTCCACTGTATGTAAAATAGTTGGAAGCACCTTAAGCTTTGACCATTGCAGTGAAGTAAGCAATAAGATAGCAAGATATCTCCAGGTTTTTTATTTTTATTTTTAATAGAGCCAGAGTAAAGAAGATTTCTAACCAGCTGCCAACTTGACATTCTAACATAAAAACAAAAATTACATGTTCAGGCCATTGGGCGGTAGTGCAGGGAAAAATGATGATGGATTTATAGTAACAATTAAGGGTGGCAATCAAGTCAGATAGATTGGGCACAGGTGGGTCGGTTCGGCTTGAGCCATATAAACTCGTATACGACCCAATTATTAAACGGGATAAGAACCTCAACGTGTAACCCACACGGTTGGCAATCAGGCTACAGGCACCCTACCCAGCTAACCACATTACAAGAGGGTATGAGCACAATATAAGTAGCTGGTTCAGAAAAAAACTTTATGCTGGTGAATAAACTCCTTAACCACTCATATAAATGAGCATGTGTTTGAACATTCTCACCAATAAGATTAATTGTTTTACACGAACAATAAATAAATAAATAAATAAAAGATAAAAAGAATAGCTGAAGTGACTAAACAAAAGTCTACGTTCAATGCATTTTTTTAAATTTACGAGACAATTTATTTTAAGCAGTAATTTGATTTTCTTTAATAAAGTCAAGTCAGCCTAAACGGTTCAAAACCCTTACCCCTAACCTAACCCATTTATTAGTCAAGTTAAACAAGTTTAGTTCAAGTATGACTTCCACCCATTTATACCCTATCCATATCCAGTATTATCGAATTAGATGCAGGTCGAGCCTTTCACTGAGTGAAAGCATCCATTTAGATCCGCCCACCCACACACTACATCGAAATGATTTACAAGGTCTGTTTTCAAGCTAATGTTCATGGGAACTCAGCCATAGGCCATCATATGGACAATCCGCTCCTTCAATATCGATCTATGGACTTTAAGTATATGAGAGAGAGAGAGAGAGAGAGAGAGAGAGAGAGAGATCAAGTAATTTGAAAAGTTTTTACCTATCTGTCAAATTATTTCAATGTAAACTTATTTATGCATAAAAACCTGACACTAGTTGACCATAATAAAAATAAATTTCATATTACATGAGCTCTCATTCTTAGACAATTAAAGTGTGTGGATCAGGATGCAAAAGGAGACATTGAGTCAATGGTCCCTGGTTTTGTCCTCATGAACCATGAATTAAGAATCAACCTGTAAGGACCATTTCCAAACGTATCTTTGTTTGTATAAGTGTGCATCCAATGAGAGAGATTTCTAGAAGAATTTGGATGCAAATTCTATAAGTGTGCAAATTATGATCCATTTTGACTTGAAGATCAACCTCAGTCTACTAGCTTCACAATGGGTCATAAGTTTCATCATAACGTAAGTACATATTTCCTAATGTCAAGACTACACATAAATAGAAAAGAAGGCCAACAAAAAAGGAGAATTGTATATACATATACAATGATGGAGCTTACAACTTGACATGTATTAGCACAAGACTCAGACATTTAAATTTTTAAGTCCAAATGACCAACAATAGAGAAAAATAAAGAATACCAGTTCGTGCTAAAGTCTGCCCTCGATAAGAAGCCCAAAAGCGAAGCTCTAAAATATCATTTGGACTGTCAAAAAGTTCAGACTCTTGTGCATTCTCATCTCGTCCTATCCGAGATAAGAAATTCTTCCATTCATCTGATTAAGAAACAACAGGAAAACCTCAGGGATGAAAAACTAACATTTTATTTGCAAAAGTTACTATTGAGTCATTACCCAAAAAAACTGATTACCACAATATACAACAGAATAAGGAAATGTATGAACAGGAACAAACATTCCACACCTCTAGAGTAAGGCATGCAAAACAAATAAATATATATATATATATATATATATATATATATATTATATAAATAAATTTCTATATGTATTTATTAATGAGGTACCAAGCACCAAGTTTGCCGTTTGGTAGTGAACTTGGTGTTTGGTAGCGAGATGTGAGTGAGATACAGTTGGATGGTAAGTACAGCCTCATGTGTTACATTTTCTCCTTGTACTTTACAACCTTAAATGTGGGATTGAGATGCATCCACCTCAGTACCGAGCACCAAGTTTGTGCTTGGGACCAAGCATACTAATCAAATACAAGTCTCTAAATAATTAATATGATCCGTATCCTACAGTCTTGAAAAAATTAAAAATGAATGATCTTTAAGGATCATCTCCTATTTATGCAAATATGTTAAAATCCTGCACATTGGAAAGAACTAATTTAACCTGCAATTTTGCCACTATCAAGATTCAAATATAGGTCTCCTAAATGACGGCAAGATGATCTACAGCTAAACTATACAGGAATAGTATAAGCCTACTAATTATCTCTTACAGACCAAAGAAATAAAGTTTAACACCGGCATCACATTCTCATCCAAACGAGTAAAACTACAAATAACATCGGCCAAACTCTGTCAACAAGGAAGATTGTGAGCAGACAAAAGACAAAGAAAAATTAGGAGTTAAGCTAAACAGCAATATGTATTAAGTGCACGCTTACTGATCTAACTGACTCAATAAACAATGAACAAAAGTTGCAAATAACTCCCAAGACTGACAAATATTCGCCAAGTTGCATCTATTTAGGCAGGAACAGACAGAAACTAAGCCAAAACATCTTTCAAGCCAATAGACATGGCATCATTAAATTATGGTCTAATACCATTTTCAAAATGTAGCCTCAATATTATTTAAATCCAATGAATGTCCTTTGAACTCAACTGAGGACAGTGCTTCACTAGTCTACTCTTGCAGCCATTATGTCACTACTACAATGCTTTGGCTCTCTGCCCTCCTCTCAGATGATGAACAGTAACATTTAGTTTTAAGTGTACATTCAATCATAAGGAATCTAACATCACTCATAGCTTTGGTTCCCTTAGGTACTAAACGAAAAGCTAAACTAACCAATGTTATTCTGGCAAGTGGAGAGGCCATCTTCAGCTCATGTCTTGCAAGACAAGAGGTACTAAGTCCTAGCTCTAGGCCACTATTTGCAACTATCTGGTTACAACCCATGACACCCCTTAATAGTCTTAGGTTCAGTTACATAAATCTAGAGACCAAAACCGCAATAAATTGTGCAATTGGTGCTGCTGTGAAACCACTAAGAACCAGTGAAAAGTGACCTGCTCTGAACTCATTGAAAAGGCTGAAACCATAACACTAAAAATGTGGTGAAACGAAATACAAACAAGTTATCAAAACCGGAGTAAACTAATTCCCACTACTCAATTTGCATAAAATATCACATAAAAGTGAAAGGCTCTCAGAAGCCAATTAACTATTTGATGAATAAGAACTCATGCAAGTGTGCTTACATCAAACCGACAAACTATAAATAATAAATTAGTTTTTGTTGACTTGTCCCAAGGAGAGAGAAATACCTGGAAAAATCTTTTGGAGGTAAAACAGAATGGCTATTCCATCCTCATTCTTTTTCTGAAGTTCTGCTAGACTATAAAGAACAATCTCAGAATAATATGGAGTGAAAACGCTGCAAGAAAAAAACAATTTATTTAAATATAAAAACTGATAAGAGGAGGTCAAACTAATGATAAAATAATAAAATAGAGTAGGCATGCATTCATTATCACCTAAATGACAACATTTCAGAAACTGGCTTAGCTTCGGGCATTTTCATAAATAAAGAGTTTGTAAAATATTCCAGCCTACGCCTGGCTTCCAAGTTTCGGGGGACATTTGCAGCAGAATCTTTGATCGTCAATAGTGAATGCAACCTCCTTACTTGGGCCTTCTGCATTGACACAGTAGAAAATACAATATTTCAAAAAGGGCCTAACTGAATACATTTCATCCAATAAGTTGATTTTTTTTAGCAAATAGTACAAGAAAACATGTCACAACGACAAGAAAATTCAATATCAACAAACGTACTAGCTCAGGATCTTTTGGCCACTTAAGGGTAGAGAACAGGTGACCTGCAGCCCTTGCTTTAGATATTTCATTCCATTCATCCAAATTACCTCTGGAAAAGATATCAACTGAACAATCAGACCACAAAAATAATAATAAATGTAAAAATTATATATACTGCACCATTTTGATAACATTGACATCATTTTCACACCTCATATCTAGAGAAAGAACATCATGATGTATAACATCATAGAGATCTTGTATTGCTCTAACTGCGCCTTGTTCTAGCTCAGGCGAGTGTTCTTCTTTCTGCAAGACAAATTATAAAAAGGAAAAAGCAGTAATTACTGCTACGAATGACCAGATAAAACATCATGTAGTGAAAGAAGTTGTAAGTTCATTTCAAGCAGACTATTCTAAGTTTCTATAAAAGATCCATTGGTGATCATAAATTTGAATACACAAATCCCTATGGTATCAAAAGATACAAAACGGATTCAACAAGCATATAAATTCATGAAAATTTACATTCTGGCTAATTTTGTGATAGCAATGTAGTTAAGAGCGAAAGATTAACCATCATAGCATCTAAATATCAATGCCATAATCAGGATAAATGAATAATGTAATAGGTATTACGACCTTCCAGAACTCGATGCTATGTATCTTTAAAAAATAATTCCTATACACTCCTCATATCTTGAATCTGTAAAACTTGAATGTGTAATCGGTTATATACTGAACAGAGCGCCAAACATCAGAAGATAGTTTCAGAGATACACAATCAGATCCAGAGCAAGGAAAGTAAATATACTGCTAAAAAAGGAAAACACTAGGCAGACAAATGATATTAGGAAGTTTATGTTCTTCGTAAAACTAGTAGCTGACTGTAACTAAATAAGCAAAATGTCAAACATCCGAAAGTCAAAAAATGAAGTTTGAAGTTGGTAAATAACATGAGAAAACTTCTTTTAGTATTAAAAAGTAGAATATCCAAGATTACCACATAACAATGACACCAAAGAGCACTCAATAATGGGTACATCACAGATAAACTCCTTTTAAAAGTACGAGTTCGGGAAAATCTTTATATGGTCAATATTACCCTTAACTGTTTTTTAAATATTACATTGTTATTGTAATCTATTATAATTATCCTATCTTCTTTAAATTGATAATTAAATGATTTATCATATTCATAATGAGACTAAACATGTTATTGGATAAAGGTGATATGTTAGATATAATTCAAATACTTTACTTATTTCAGTTCGTAGAGAAATTTAAAAAACAAATGCTAACCAGCACCTAAAAGTTTTTGGACTTTGTAAAAAACATCCTCCAAATTTTTTTAATTGTAAAAACACTTGTACAAATTCAAATTTTATTAAAACATCTTGAAAATTGTAAATTTACTTATTTTAATTTAGTGAGAAATGTGAAAAACATATGCTAGCTAGAAACTGACAATTTTTTAACTTTGGAGAAAAAATCTTGTATGTTTTGAAAATTACAAAAACACCCATAAAAATTCCAAATTTATAGAAAACACCTTGGAAATTTGAAACCTATACACAGTAAAAACCTACAAATAACACAAACAACTCTCGAAAATTTAGAGATTTGCAATAAACACTGAATTTTTTACAAATTGCAAAATAAAACCCTCAAAATTATAAAACTTAAAAAATCCCGATATCTTCCAACTTAACAGTACATTGAAAATATAAGAATTACAAATATCTCCTATATAATTTGTAATTTATAGTACATAGTCCTTAAAGTTTCAAAAACTACAAACAAACTCTTAAAATTAAAATTTTATAAAAAAACACACTGAGAATTTCAAACTCATTAGTAAATTGAAAAGATAGGAATTATAAATAGTTTATAAACAATTTACAACCTGTAGAAAAGCCCTATAACGTAAAAAACTACAAAAAACCCCTAAAATTCATAATTTACAAAAAAACACCACGAGAAGTTCTAACCTATAGACACTAAAATGAATATACAAAACTATTAACAACCGCTGAAAATTAAAAATTTGCAAAAATTATCATTCTCCCTTACAAAGTATAGGTTTAAGAAAAAAAATTGTGGTCAATATTACCCATAATTTTTTTGAAAAGAACATAACTAATTAAAAATCTATTAAATTTAAAATTTATAAAAAAACACCATTAAAGTTTAATACATTGCAAATTACCCCTCCAAAATTTGAAAATTTTCAATGATTTTTTGTAATTCCTTAATTTCAATGTAATGTTTAATAGTTTTGTATATTTGTAAATTGCAAAATTTTAGGGTATTTTTTTTAATTTAAAACTTTTAAGGTTGTTTCTTTTGTAGTTTTCTAAATTATCATTGTGTTTGCAAGTGTAATACATGGATACGTCAATTAATGATGATATTGAAGAGTAAGTCGTTCTTAAGATGTATCAGACCATAGTTAAACATGCACATCACTATTCCTAAGCAGTATAATTTATATATGTAAAAAAATTTAGACAATCTATATAGTGGTTAAAAGGATTTTAACTTTAATGTACTATTTTTTATAAATTATATTTATTGTGAACCCACCATATAATTTTGACTGTGACCATCATAATTTTAATATGTTTCATTGATTGACTATATAGGTGTATAAACCATAGATTACTTTACTTTCTCACATAAACTAATATTTGGCGTTTAATAATTTAAATTATTACTTTTAAATTTACTATAAAGAGAAGATCTAATAACATTTATTTATTTACCTACAGAATAATATAATTTAAATTCTTGTTTTTTCATGAGATTTATTCCATAGTTACACGTATCAAATTAGTAACTAAATTAATAATAATTTATGCTTAAGTTAGGATGATTGTAGTTGATTACTCACTATGAAATTTTCATGAAGATATATATATCTTACTTTCTATAGCTATATGCATTGTTGATGTATATTTTATAAATTGGTTGTTAATTTGACATATTAAATTACTTTTTCTTTGTAGAAATTTCGTCGTTGACTTTTGGATTATGTAATCACTATATCACCATTCTAGTGTAGAAAGGATCTCACTCTAAATGACTTCACACTAATGTTTGAGTTGAACTGAAATATATACTATTGCTACTATGTGTATATATTTTTAAAAAAAATCATGTCGACACTTTTTAAACAGAAGAGAATATTTTAATATCTAATATTATAAAAACTAAATATAGCCAATTAAGTGATTAGGAAAAAAGAACTTACATTAGAAAAGCGTGAATAATAAGTTAAAGAGGAATAATAATGGCACTGCCAACAGTACTACCAATAACAAACTACAGTGTAAAGTTAACCTATTTTGTAGAGCCCAACTACTAGCTATAAGCATCAAGGTTTTTACATATATACTTTATAATTTATTAAAAAGGGTCATGTAATCTTAAATAATAAAATTGATTTAATACTGAATAGTAATATCATTGTAATAATATCGTTATTAGGGAAAATTCTTCATGAACTAGTATGTTCTTTATGATATATAAGGTATGTACTCCAAATCCTTATGTCTTTTATAAAGTCAAAAAAATTGAATACGAGCTTCTAACATTTTGCTCTCACAACAGCAAAATCCACTTAGCAGATGTGGGTTATAATAGCACTTTTATTTCACATCGTTTAGGCTAAGATTTGATAAGGACTTTGCATCAAAGAAAAAAATTATATTTAGAGTACATAGCAAAATATATCATAATCTCATTGTTCTAATTTCAAAAGAAAATAATTCTTCATTCTTTCAGTTTTACTTCTATGATAAAGAGAATGAGATATAAAATTGAATGAGAATATTAGATAATGTAAATATGAATGAAACTACAACTAAAAGTTAATATAAATATGAGTCAAATTACAAGTAAAATGGACATATTGAAAGTAAATTCATATGCAAAATTTCTCCACGAATCGGATAATCACCCAGCTTTTGAAGACATCAAGATATTAATAAACAAAGATGTTGTACTAGATCAATATGTTTATAACTCACAAATAGTAGATCACGTGGCCACAGTCTAGGTGTAGGAAACAATGACAACATTTCATTTGAGAGAGATTATTGAGCATACGATTAATCCCACAAAAAACTTTATTTTTATTCTATTTTTATCAATTTAAATAATCATAATATTCAACAACGTGCATTGCATATGCATCTCAACTAGTATATATATATATATATATATAGACACACACACACACACACACACACACACACACACACATATATTATGTACATATATATACATACACACACACATATATATGTATATGTACATTTATGTGTGTGCGCGCGTGTGTGTGTATATATCATATATATGTATATGTACATTTATGTGTGTGTGTGCGTGTGTGTGTGTGTGTATATATATACACACACACACACACACACACATAAATGTACATATACATATATATGTGTGTGTGTATGTATATATACGTACATATATGTGTGTGTGTGTACCTTAAAAACAAGAACAATGACTTTTTCCAACTAATTGGCATCTGGAATATGAATGTCATTTATCAATTCATCTCTACTAAGGGAACTCAAGCACTTGCTTCATTCAAGAAGATTGTGGACAATAAGCGAATCCCAAATTCACAATGTTTGAATAATGGACTTCAAATTTGATCCCACAATAGAGATTTCATTCAAAAGTGTGGCAGTTCCGATCTATTTATCATAATTTAGGAATTTCATTCCATTACAGAAGTTAAATAAATAAATATAAAATGTGATATACTTCATGTCTGCCACTCATGGTCCAGCTTCTTTTAATGAGGATGGATACTCTAGTTATTAAGCCCTGCTCGCTTTCTCTCATGTTAGGGTAGAGTAAGCATTCTAATGTTGCAGCCAGCCAGACCATACTACATGGATTAGACAACATAGGATAATATTAATTATGTATGTACCTATCCAAGATAAAAGATTATTCCCATGCATATCATACATAAAACGTTATTTGAAAATCAGGTTGCACATTTTACCAGTATTCCTGTTAGTGCAGTAATTCTGGTGATCACAAGTGGCAGCTTGGTCAGCTGAAAATCAACCTGAATATTTTTCCTCGTCATACTTCCTTTTATATCTTCAAATATCCTCTCCACCCTTTTATCAGTAACAAATAAACAATATTTAACAAACTGAGAATACAGAAAAAGAGTAAACATGTGATGTCACACGAAAACAGGGGGGGTGGGGGGGTGAACTGACCACATCCTCCCTTCTTTGTCCAGTATTGCTATCAAGATGGTCTTAATACACTGATAAGACTCCTCTACTGCATATTTCATATAATCATCTCTTGATATTCTGTCCCATAGCTCATCCTGAGAATCCCTACATTCCACTGCAATGTCTCTGGCAAGAAAAATCTGGCAGAACCAACAAAAACATCAGCACAGAAAGTAACTCTTAACTTTAAAGGAAAACAATAGTGTCTTTTTGTGCGCAGAAATGGTATAAATATTTGTGAAAGTAACAGAATGGTCCATTCACAATCATAAGCAACAATAAGCCACACTGCAAACAAAAACGAGAATGGGAAACAAAGCTAGGAGTACATCAAACCTTGCTTGCTAACAAAAAGAGAGGCCATTGGACCAAAGGAAGGAATCCTGAATTTTTTGGCATAAGAAGTAGATCCATTTCGCTGCAAATAGAAAAAAATCATATCGACTCAAGGCAAACAAATACTTACATATTAAAAGAAATTGAATAGACTGGGATTAAATCTGATATAAGCTACTTACAAGTTTGTAATATAATCTTCCTCTCGTAAATTTTTTATTATTTCATTCCAGAATGGAGCAAACCTAGCAGCATCAAACTTCTCTCTCTCCAAAACCTTCATCAACAGAGTATCAAAAGATTGGCATTTTTTAAATAGGAAAGAAGGATACAATTTAAAAATGCAGAAGTCAGATAAAGACAGTAACAGTCCAACTCAGAGATAATAGTGATCTATAACCCGACATGGACGCAGGGGCAGATACGGGACATGGCAAAATTGTAAAAGTTAGGATACAAGGATACGGCTATATACATACATATTAAAATTAATAATCTACATGAGACCGATACTGTTTTTCATCCAGTGTTATAAGAACCAAAATCCTCATACCATTTTTATGTTTCTATTATCGAGTAGATTATAAATTGAAAACTGCTCATTTTTGAACTAGATACACAAATGACCCTTTAAAATCATACTTATGAACTAGATATGTACTAAAACGAACCTGTCCCGAGTCCAATGAGTTGCATAATTTGAGATGAAGCGTATGATATACATTCAAGAACTGTATCACAAGTATTTTGAACTAAAGCATGTGCTATATAATTGAGCATACGTCTCAAAATGTATGTATATATTCAAGACGTGACCAAGGCCTGTCGGACACAAATAACCTAGCTCGTAATAAGGACATTTCATCCTAGACGAAATTTCCGGGTAACCTAACTCATAACACAACTATCAAAGTTGTTTAATAGTAACTAATGCTTACCATTAATACAAAGTGGTTGTTTTACTTGGTCTTCTAAAATCATCATTCTACATCGTACGCTAAATGGAGAACAAGCTATTAACTTCGAGCATTCACGAACTTCCATGCCAAAACAGTGGCAAATTTAGGAGATAAAGGTCAGGAAGAAAATCATAGCATGTTGGGTAATCCTGCAACATGAAGCTATACTAGAGAAAGAAAATACAACAATGATGAGTTTGTAATATGCTAAACAACAAGCCTGTAATCATCAACAGATGCCAGAAAGAATAGTCCAGGTGAGTAATCTACATGTCTTAACATGCATTGAGGACAAGTTGAAACACCAGTGACATAGAATACACAGGAACTCCAAAATCTCACATAAAGTCTATATGCAACAAAATAGTGAGTCACATGAAGAATGCGGAACGCCACATAGAAATTGATTTCTATGCTCATTAAATGTATTGTAGATTAGCACTAGATAAAAAATTCACAGCAATCCACTTATCATCTTCCTCGATCAAATAGAAAGAAACTTCATATTTTATGTACGGCTTCTCCACTTTACCAGCAGCAAAAATACATTGTTAAGCCTCCTAATCCTGTGATGACTCCCACAACATACAGTACTGGATTCCCTAATTCCTCATGCTTCCACTCCATTATCCCCCTCAACCCTACTCTATTCAGTGAATTATTCCCCTTCCATTCTCCTCTATTTTTATTTCTCTAATTAATAGGGTAGCGAGTACGAAATGAACGTGAAAGCTTTGTATGGAGAACGATGGATTTAATGGAGTTGTAGTTTCTGTTTCGGAAGACCATACGCAGACAATGATAAAAAAGACAAAGAAAATAGATGGGAAAAGGAGGGAAAATCAACAAAGCAAAAGAAAAGAGAAGACAGAAGTTTAAATGCTGTTTCAATAGATCATCTTTCATTCTACATCGCATTCATGAAAAGTACACAACCCTTTACAAAAAATACTCCAAATGCTGTGATTAATAGAATCCTTATCTGGATAGAAAAAGGATGGAAAATGACAAATCTGATTCTGTCATTGGCCTTTCCATTTCAATAGCCAAATGTCCTTAAATGTGCCTTTATACAAATGTATGTAACTAACATAGTTACACCATGTGTGTACTGTAACCCTACATCACATTCATGAAAAGTACACAACACTATATATATATATATATATATATATAGAGAGAGAGAGAGAAAGAGAGAGAGAAATGGGTATGTTTGGAGGTGAGATGAAAGCGCAAGAAATTTCATGCGTATTCATCACGTAGCAGTTTATTATTCACGGCAAATCCTTGAGAATTCTAGGCACTGGTTAGGAAAACCTATTGTTTATATGTAAAGCTCAAAAATCAAGGATTGTGTGTAACAGTTTGTGCCAAATTTTATCTCACCAGCTTTCCTTTTTCTCGTTTCTCTTCGTCATTTTGAGTCTTTGTGTTCGTTTTCCATCATTGTTCTTTCTTTTTCCAACCCAAATAAAATAATTTGAACCCGAACGAAAACAAGTTGATAGACCTTCACAAACCAAATCAAAAAAAATCTTCCCCTTCACTTTTTGGACAAATTTTTATAAGGGGCTTTTTATAAATTTTATATAGCAAAACCGACCTGATTGGAAATTAATCTGCAAAACCGACACTTTTCTTCGGAAAAGGGTCGGTTTACAGTAGCGGTGTTTTTTCGAGCTACACGAGACTACTAGTCCTGTGTAGTTTGGCCAGCAATTGAAATGCACGGAACTAGTAGTCTCGTGCATTTACTTTTTAACCTGTGACCCCCTCATTCCCTCATTGACCCGTGACTCCTCCCCTCTCTCGCCCCTCTCTCAACTCCCTCTCTCGCCCCCCCCCCTCCTCTGCCGACCCCGTCGACCTAGCTCCTGACCACATCCGCCAACCAAGCTCTGATTAAGGTAATTTTTTTTTAATTTTGTTGTTAAAATTGATGAGGGATATGAATTAGGAGTAAGGGTTTAGCCATGAAATTTGCTTTTTAGTTGAGATTTGGGATTAGGGTTTAACCATGAGTATTGTGATTAGGGTTAAGCCATGAATAATGTGATTAAGGTTTAGCCATAAATAATGTGAAATGGGATTAGGTTTTTTACTTTTCAGTTGAGATTTGAGTTTAGGGTTTAGCCATGAATAATGTGATTTGGAATTAGGGTTTTTTGCTTTTTAGTTGAGATTTGGGTTTAGAGTTTAGCCATGAATATTGTGATTTGGGATTAGGATTTTATAAATAATTTTTAGTTATAATGTGATTTGGGTTTAGCCATGAATAATGTGAATTGAGATTAGGGTTGTTAGCCATTATTTGCTTTTCAGTTAAGATTAGGGTTTTAAATTTGATTTTAAATTAAGATTAATATTTTTAGTTATAATAGATTATTTACATATGATGAACTGCTAATTTTTAGCTTCGATGGCAAACTCTATACGCATTATTTGCCTTTTCAATGGGAGCCTTGACGTCGGATTGAATAGTATGTCTATGTATGAAGGAGGTTCTAGGAAAATGTTTATGCTATCTAAGTCATGTAATTTTGATGGAATGATGAATGAAATACACAAAGTTACTAAAATTAATAAAGCAGAGTATGCAATTAAGATGTTCTTCAACTGTCCGACAAATGAGAGTAGAACTATTGCTATGGAGATTACCGATGATGAGGAATTGAATGATATAAAACAATTAGTCGAGAGGCAAATGTCAATTAAGTTGCTCATTGAGAAGTATCTGATTCACGAATTTGCCCAAGTTTCACGACTTCAAGGAGAGTTTTCTTGGATGCTTGACTTAGACAATGAGTCGAGTGGTTTTATGATATCTCCAAGTCAGGATCCTTGGTTTCAACTACAACGTTTAAGTGGTCATTCTATTGGTGGGACGTCAAGTACTATTTTTAACGACGGTTTGGGCCATGTTACAGGTGACCTATCGGCCGGATCAATTGTAGAAGAAGAAGCAAATGATGACTCAGAAGATATTGAAGAAGAAAACGTGCAAATTAATAGCATGCAGGTGGCAGCTGGAATCGATGATGACTCCCGTTGGATGGAACAATTTAATGTTAATAATGATTATATAGAAGCTGAAGATTCGTTATCCGACGAGTTTCATAATGAGCATTGGATAAATATTTCCCAAGCTGAATTTGTTGATGTTGGTCCAAATTTTCAACAGCCTGAGGACTTCACTTTTAAAAAAGGGGAACATATTCGAGAGCAATGAAGCATTGATCTTTGCAATATAAGAATCATCTATCAAAAACTGGGTCAAATTCAAGACGGTAAAAACTAATACAACAAACTATTATGTAAAATGTTACTTTAACGAGAAGATTGAAATCGAGCATGCAAATGAGCAAGATGAGAGAAACAAAAAATGTCATTGGTTGCTAAATGCAACTGTGAGAAAAACATCAAATGGGCAATTTGTAATATTTAAATATTACGGACTTCATACATGTTGCAATCCGTCGGTGGATGTCGATGATTATTCTGCATCTTTCTCTTATATATGTAAGCTAATTATGCCTGAAGTTAGAACTGAACTTGATCTAAACGCAGGTCAGATATTTCAAAGGGTATATTACATGTGAGGCATTAAGAAATCTAAATATAAGGCATATGACACAAGAAGGAAAGCATTGTCTAAAATATTTGGAGATTAGGAAAAATTGTATGAATTACTTTCACAGTATCTTGAAGCTATCAAGTGAAATAATCTGGGTACTGAATATGAAATATTGTCCGAAGAGATTGCACCGGGGATGGAGAGGTTCACTCGAGTATTTTGGGCATTTGGTCCTGCTATATTTAGGGCTTCACTTTTTATCGTCCGTTATTGAGCATTGACGGTACACATTTATATAGCAAGTACAAAAGTGTACTTCTTGTAGCAACCAGTGTAGATGCAAATAGCGGTTTATTTCTTCTAGCATTTACAGTCGTGGAGGTAGAGGATACTTCTAGTTGGAAGTGATTCTTTGAACTTATATACAAGTGGATTACTAGTGTCCGTGCGCCAAGATTAATTATTTTTATCTCGGATAGGATGAAAGGAATTATAAGGACATTACATGAGGGTTTTGGTGCACCACATCAACATCGATATTGTTTAAGGCATATAAGAGATAATTTCAAGAAAAAACATGGTGAAATTAATTTGCAAAATCTTTTGTGACAAGCTGGGTGTGCAACCAATACATTAGTGTATGAACATTGTAGGGAGAAAATCAAGTCTTTGTCATTAGATGCACATAATTGAATTGAAAATAACTTAAAACCTCAATTCGAACATCGATGGGTATTATGTAAG